ACACACACACACACACACTTATACACTTACACACACACACACACACACTCTTATACACGTACACACTCGCTCACACACACACTCACTCTTATACACTTACACACACACAGGTTTGTTTTTATGGTTTATGGGTTCTCTCCATAGGCGTAATGGTTTTTATACTGTACAGACCGTATATTCTATTGCCCTACACCAACCCTACCCCTAAACCTACCCCTCACAGGAGACTTTCTGCTATTTCAGATTTTCAATACACTCCATTCTGTGTGATTTATAAGCGTTTTGAAAAGTGGGGACATGGGGTAATGTCCTGAAAAGTCACCTTCTCCTTGTAATACCTATGTCATACCTTTGTCATTTTACAAATTTATTTCCTCATTTGTCACAAAAACACGTACACACACACACACACACACACACACACACTCACTCTCTTATACTTGCACACTCTCACATGCTCACAAACTTACACACACACACGCTCACACTTACTCACCCACTAACACACACGTAAACACTCACTACGTGAAGTTCGCAGAAACCAGTGAAATTTGCTCGATTGAGTTTTATTGAAACTGAACAAACAAAAAATAAAAGTTATAAATACAAACATCTGACCAGCCGGCCATAGCTCTTAAGGTAAGCCAGACCAAACCCTCACCAGCAAATCCCAAATGGAAAAAAACATCTGAAGTTATAATATCAGTATACCAGTTTTTAAAAAACACAATTCAACTACTTCTAGAAATGCTAAACAGACACCTAAACAGCACTCCTGCTACAAAACTTTTTTTTTTTTTTCCTTCTCGTGGATTATTTTCTCCACTTCTGCAAAAAAACCAGACAAAAGTAAAACAAAAAGCTGAAACGAAGCTCTAGTCGACAGCTATTATTTACACGCGAGTCCCTATGCCACTAGCACTGAGAGAGAGAGACGATGAGAACGGAGGACTGCGGGAAGGACGACATCTTTCTGGAAGGCCATTTCATGATTTGAACGTCCTTTCACGCGCACGCTTGCTCGGAAGTATCAGTGTCTTCTTTAAAACGCTCATGGTGGAGTTTAAAACAAGGAGGATGTGGGAATAAAAGTGTTGTGTCCGTTTAAGACAAGCGTCCCGCCGGGGCCACGGACAGAATCTACAGGGCTACTGGAGGATAGAAAAGTCAAACAAACACAGCTGGCCAATCACGGTCTAGTTTCTCAGGACGAGGGCGGGCTGCGCGTCTACTTCCACTGCTGGCCGTAGGAGTCCTGGGAGAACTCGAGCGAGTCGTTGCTGTAGCCGTAGCCGGCGGCGTAGTCGGAGCCCAGGGGCTGCTGGGCGATGGGCTGCGAGCCCCAGTTTTGCTGGTTGGTCTGACGGCGTTTGGAGTCCGGCTGGTTAAACACGTCTGCCTTCCTCTTCCCGCCCACGTTTCCGCCGCGGTTTCCTCGCGCGCCTCTGATGCCGCGGCCCCGGGGGGCCTGGAAGGGCCCGCCCCTTCCCCCGCCACGGCCCCTGTCGTAAGCGTAGTATGGGTCATCGTAGCCGCCTCGGTAGTCATGGTAATCGTAACCATAGTAATCATCGTAGTACTCCTCGTAACCGTAGTAATCGGGCGGGTAGGCGTATCCGCCCCGCCCACCACGCCCGCGGCCACGCCCCGGAGGAGGCATGCGGGGGGGAGGGTAGTAATAATAGTCATCATACCTGAACAGGTGGAGACAGACACACCGTCAGAGCTAAACCTGACAAATACTGCCTCCTCGTTTGTAAAAACAGTATACAACCCTCATAATACATTAAAAATCTGTATACAATTTGCATATTCCAGGTCCGTTTGGACCCGAAGAATCTTTGATTTATAAAACAGTCTTAACTAATATTTTTCGACTAAAGCCATATTTTATCTGATCATCAACTTCTCATTGATGAGTAAATGTAGAATTTTTTTTTTTTAAAGTTTTGAATATTGGCATGTCAATGTATGTTACCAAAAAGAATTTGAGAAATTCATTGAAATTTCAAATTACGCATAAGCCACACCAAAAAATATATGCATAATGTGCATGCATCTCTTCCGGGTCAAAACAGACCCGAATGCGTTCTGAGGTTAAACTGCAGAAATGCAGAGCTAGGGCTGTGTTAGTGTTTATAATCGTCTCACCCTGAGCTTCTGCTGGTCTGTCGGGCAGCTTGTCGTTCTTTCCTCTTCTTATCTGGAGGTTTGGCCAGCACGATCTCGATCTGCTCACCGCCCAGCTCTTTACCGTTCATCTCCTGCATCGCCTGCACACACACACACACGGACAGACTATTATTATACTATATTATTTACTATAACCATTACTGATTTCAGCATAATCTTCATTATTTTTAATTTTATTTAATGGTCACTGCAGAAATAATGAAATCCGTACTCAAATCTATAATTATGCATGTCCAACATTTTGGTAACAGAGTTGCATGCACACAGTAAAATAAGGCCAGTTTGTGAAAATCAACACTTTCTCACTAATTTGATGAAAACAAGGTTTGTAAGTGTGCAGGCGCTTCACCTTGACTGCGGCGTCTCGCTCCTCGAAGTGAACAAAGGCGTAGTCCTTCAGCTTCTTGACGCGCTCCAGTTTGCCGAACTGAGAGAAGGTGTTCTCCAGCAGCTCCTCTGTGACCGGCGTGGCCAGCTTACGCACAAACAGCACCTTCACCTGACGAGACAGAGCACATCGTCACACATCACACTACATACAGAGAGAGCTGTGCATGCTCACACACTGACCTTGGCCATGACCTCGGGGTCAGGCTCTGCGACGGGGTCGGCCCACTCCACGGTCACAGGGTTCCCCCACACCTTCACCTTCCCGCTCATGAGCCTGCGCCGCGCCTGAGCCGCCGACTTATGATCCTCATACTCCAGAAAACAGAAGCCGCGGTTCTTCCTCTTATCATCCGGCTGTGTGTACAGAATGACCTCCTGCAGACCCTCTGAAACACACACACACGCGCACCATTAACACACACACACACACACACACACACACACACACACCTCTGCTGCAGACACCTCACCTGTGACTTTGCCAAAGTCCTCCAGGATACTCTCCCGGGTCTTGTTCTTTGGAATGGACCCGACAAACAGACGGTTGTTGGCCACAGAGATGCAGACGCCCAGATATTTGCCCGACCGGATCTCGTAGTTATCACACTGATGCCAAACACACACACACACACACACACCAGTTACACACCGTAACATTTCAGAGTAATAATGTTTTGAATGTGTAGGTTTCATAAATTTAGACCGTTTTGAGCAGTCGTGTTCAAAGGAATTTAATGAAATCCATAGAAGTCAGTACTGGTGATATTCAAATACAATTTCTAAAATACTGATAAAATATGCATCAAACTGGTTTTGCAGTAGTTCTTGTTCAAGATTTAAATTTGAAAGAATTTCTCAATTTTTAAAACTTGCTGCCAGATTCTGGAAGATCAATTCTTCTAACAGTGGAACAAGAGCATGTGGTGCTGGTTCTGATCGGTCTATAATGCCTATAAAATAGTCTTCACGTATTTCACAACACTTCAGCATGTGATTCTTATCAAGTAGGGGTCATCCGTCATGCACGGATCTAATATAGGCTACTGATACACATGGCTCTCTGCTTACTTTTCTTTTTAGGAGCACCTTCTGATCAACGATCAACAATTCTGATCAAAAACTATCCTTCCTAATACGAGGTGACATGTGACTCCTTAAAGTGACTTACAGGGGTATTCTCTTTTTACCTCATTTTCATCTGTCAGATTTAAAAAAAACGTATGTTTATAAGCTTTTTAAAATTTCTATTTAAAACAATATAATAAGAATTAGAATGAGACAAATAAGTTACCAATCATATGAAATTAGTATTAATAAAAATTAATTTGTGGTGGCACAGAAGAACACAAAAGTGGCTTGTAGGTGCATTTTCAGACGTTTAATGAGGCTCAGAGGGGGCATGAGTGCAATTAAATGATTTAAATAACTGAAATTATACTAAAAATGAAACTGAATCCGCCAGCAGGTGGCGACAAGTCACTGATTTTATCACTGAGTCATTCATTCAATCGATTCGTTCGAACGGCTGAATCATTCAGGAATGAAGCAAGTCTTTATGAATGGGTGATCATGAATCACTGACTCACTAGATTCCTTCAAAAACGCACTTTCATTCATGAATGAAGCACCGCTGTGTTTGCTTTTAGAGATGCGCAGCCGCTGAGCTGTTACTATAGTTGGAACCCAATCATTAGTGCCGCTTCGTTGTCTTTGACAGAACATATAGGAGAACTTTTCAAATAGTGCCATAAACAACATTTATTTCAAACGTAATTCAAGCAGTTTCAAGAAGCGTGGGAACCCTGGTGTGTGCATGTACATATATAGTTGATTAAAACTAATAATAAAAAATAAAGCCTCGGCACGAAAGTTGAAGCACAAATTACTAACTGCAGAAGTATTTCTGTCTTGTTTTCCAGTTTAAACATCTTTAAATGAAGATGCATTTACTGGAGAAGCAAAATTACTAAAGATAATGAGTCTTGTTTTTTAATTTTATTTTTTTAAGCAAATTTATATTTAATACAAGAAAAAATATCTGCCAACGGGGTTAGAAAAATAAGTTTCTTTTTATGACTTCATTGGCATATTGGAAAATATTTTTGCATAGGAGCTAACTTTGTTTTTATATATTTTATGTTTTGAATTGATTTCATTAAATTACAGCAATTTTTTTCCATGTGCTTTTGGAATTTTTGTTATTACTATTTAGGTTTAATTTGTTATTTTTGTCGTTTTGTCTTGCAAAATGACAACAAAAAAAATTTTTTTAATTACGCTAACAAAAGTTAATTAATAAAAGTATAATAGTATATAAATATATCTAAAATAACACTGTATAAGGGGCTAACGACTGATTTTCATTCATTGTTGTTAGTGATTATGGATCAGCGTGTAAGCCGACGGTGAGCATCAGGACGACCCGCACCAGTTTGACAGCCTCCTGCGCGGCTTCTTTGCTGCAGAAGGTGATGAAGGCGTAGCCGCGGTTCTGACCGGTGAGAGGATCCATCATCAGCCTCAGATCCCAGATAGAGCCGGCCTTCTCAAACAGAGGAACCAGCTCGTCCTCGTACAGATCCCGCGGGATCTTCCCCACAAACACCTGCAGGAACACACACAGACACACAGACAGAGACACAGACACACAGACAGAGACACAGACACACACACACACAGACAGACACACAGACAGAGACACAGACACACAGACAGAGACACAGACACACAGACAGAGACACAGACACACAGACAGAGACACAGACACACAGACAGAGACACAGACACACAGACAGAGACACAGACACACAGACAGAGACACAGACACACAGACAGAGACACAGACACACAGACAGAGACACAGACACACACCCACAGACACAGACGCACACAGACACAAGCAGAAGCTCTTCACACTATCAGTCAGAGCCACAGGACGTCAACAGACAGACAGACACAGACACAGACAGAGACACACACACACACACTCACACACAGAGACACAGACAGAGACACAGACACACAGACACAGACAGACAGACACAGACAGACAGAGACACAGACAGAGACACACACACACACACACAGACACACACACACACACACACACACACACACAGACACACACACACACACACACACAGAGAGACAGACACACACAGACAGACAGACACACACAGACAGACAGACAGACAGACACAGACAGACAGACACACAGAGAGACACAGAGAGACAAGCACACAGAGAGACACAGACACACAGAGACACAGACACACAGAGGTCAGCTCAGTCGCTCAGCACTGGCGCTCACAGAACCGCGAGAGTGTGACAGTAAACCTCAGTGCCGATGCCGGGCTGTGGGCCGGAAAACACTTCCTCTGGAGGAGGGCCGCCGTACTTCCTCTGGCCTGTCGTGACGTCTAGAGTGTATCCCGTCCTCTCCAGCAGATCCTGAGACACAATCAGTACATCACAGCATGAAGATCAGCCTAACAGCGATGCTCAAACAGGCAGAGGAGGAGACATTGTTCTAGCTGACTACGAAATCTATGGCCACTGAGTGTCTCTCCCGATGTTACGTGACATTATTGCTCTCAAGCTGTTTTACTGAAGTCTTTTAAAAGTCCAAATGCATCATCAGAGAAACACTAATTACACATCATAAACAGAAAACTGCTATTTCAGCTGAAAATCTTTTGGAACATCGCTACTTAAAATGATTTACAATAAAACAAGATTTAAGATTTCAGAAACTCCATGAATTAGCATCTGGAATCCTAATATATATATATGATTTTAGTTACTTTTTCTAATGTACAGATTAGGGATGCACCTATATGAAAATTTTGGCCGATACCGATAACCGATATCACAGAAGTGTGGACAATGGAGTGAAAAAGCTTGAGAAGCACAGGTATATTCACGGTTCTAATTGTGGCCACGAAACAGCTGCAGTACCTTTATCTTGGCCTCATCGGGGCCTTTCGTGGACTCCTGCACTTTATTGCCCTGCTTTTCCCGCTGCCGGTACGTCTTCATCACGCCGCACAGGAAGGCACTCTTATTCTGGAACCAATCAGAGGAAAGGACGTGACATCAAATACGTCTGAATGTACAACAAACGAGGGGAACACAGAAGTATAAACTGTTTTTCTCAGTAGGCATGTTTACATGCACTCATTTTCATCAACTCTGAAAGTTCTGCAATCTTATTCACATTGTCATTTTCATGTGCATTTGTGTATTCCAAACCAAACTGCATCAGTCAAACTGGAGAAAGTCACGGCTATAATATCACCGTTACTGTGATTATAATCGTTGCTTTCAACTCGATAACATATCTAAAAGGAAAGCTTGACGAATGTCAAAATAACCAAATATTTTGTAAATATTCAGCTCAAAAGATGTAAATAAACATATGCACATTCGTAAGAAATAAAGAAAAAGAAATGCAGTCACATGCTTAATTGTTTATCCTATTGATCAGACTGTTTCAGGTCTACACCCATTTCAATCCGATCAAAGTCTTTCTGATCTGACTGCTAGCGGATGATGTGTGTGTGTGTGGTGTGCGTGAGTGTGAGTGAGTGAGAGTGAGTGAGTGAGTGAGTGTGCGTGAGTGTGCGAGTGAGAGTGAGTGTGCGTGTGCGAGTGAGTGTGCGTGAGTGTGAGTGTGAGTGTGAGTGAGTGTGAGTGAGTGTGAGTG